GAATATATTACTAAACAAGTCAAATGTATATTATTGATGATTTACAACCTGAAAACAAGAATATTGATTGAACTTTACAGTAAAATACAGTAACACTGCCAAGGGATGTGAGTATTGTGCATGTCTCCATGATTTTATGTTCAAAAAGCTCTTTATTTTTCTCCTACTGCCTGTGCTGCAGCACCTCTTTTCACCCTCTGTCTGAAACCAGAGCCCAGTCTGCTCTGATTGGTTAGCTGGCCGACTCTGCTGTGATTGGTCAACTGCATAGAGATGTCCCGCCCCTTAGCCTATCACGTACAATGTGTTTGAGCGCTAGCCAATAGAAATGCAAGTTTTTCATAGTGATGTCCCTATGTTCCGGAAGTAAACAAAGGAGTCCAATGGAGGCATTTTGGAGAGTGTGTGGTAGAGAGACTCCCTCTGGAGGGAACACAGGAATTGTAGCCTTTGCAGACCATTTACATGCACAAAAACCTGTAACACTACAGGAAAGAGAAAACCCCCAAAAAAGCATAATAGAGCCCCGTAAACACAACGGCAAAATTCTATACGATGATGCAAATAACGAAAAGTAAACAATCACAAGTACAGCCAGTAATAGGACAGACAAAGTAGCAATACACACAAATTACATTCACAGCTTCTATAAATTAAAAACGCTTTTTTATAACTAGGATAAAGATTGCTTGTACTGTATCTGCAAGACATTCTCTGACTGACAATATTTATGAAGTTGTTGCCCTGAAACTTTTCATGGAGCGTTTCCAATGTAATTACATTGTATGCTCAAGGGTCTCGTTCCTTCTGTCTTTCTCTTCTTCTTCTTCTTTCTGTCTCTCTTTAATCTCTGTTCACCTTCATCTCCACAGCCTCCACCAACCCTCCAATATCTCTGTCTCACTCTCTAGGGTTCCTGATAGTTAATGAGCTTTAAACTTGGATCCTCATCACTGATTACAGCTTGGACTCACTGAGACATAGTGTGTGAGTCTCTGTGTGTGTCTCTGTGTGTGTGTGTGAGAGAGATGTAAGCGCTTTGTTAACAGAGAAATGGCCTCTATTGTGGGGAGTCAGGGCAGGTACACCTAATGGTGTGTGTGTATGTGTGTGTGTGTGTGTGTGTGTGTGTGTGTGTGTGTGTGTGTGTGTGTGGTTTGTCTTTTGCTTCAGCAGCTCTTGAGCTAATGTGCTTCACAATCTACTAGCTTCCTCCTTCCCTTTAGCACTGTAACACTAATGACTAACCCAGGGCTAACACACACATACACACACACACACACACACCGGCTTGGCCCCACGCTGCCTGATCTCAGTTTTTTCACATTTTATTGTGGGTAAAACATTATTATAGCTGCAGAGAAAAGATTAGGCCGAGAGAAGGGGTTGGGGTTCCGGCCATACACAGCAAGTTATCACATTTCAAGCGTTTGATACAATGTATAGATGTATGTTCAGTGTACATCTCATAGGTTTTACCTTTTAATCATGTCCTTTATTATCCATTGGGCTCTTTGCAGGCCACCTCTACTGTTCTATCAGTGTAAACACTCCACTGTGAAAGGTCCCATGTCCTGGCAAAACTCCCAGGAAAAACGCAGGACGAATTTTTTTTTTAAAAGTAGCCGAACAGTAGGTCTTCACTTTCATTCCAGTTCATGACATCATTCTGGTGCAAAAATACTTTTTTTCATTGACTTACATTGGGAAAGAGACTATTTTAAATCAGCAATTTTTTTTGACGTAAATCAACTTCATAGTACACGTGAATAGCCCTTTTTTAAATCTTCAGGTCCTAAAAGTAGAAAAACCACCAGAGACAGTTTCATCACACAGGCAATACGACTGTTAAACCCCTGAACTGTTGAAACAACATCCATAACATTCATCTGCTACTTAGTAATTATTTATCTATTTATCTAATATATCATTCCAATAGCTTATAGACTCTTTCTTCACTATTTCACTTTTTTTAAACTATTTTTATTTTTGTATTTACTTTTTAATATTTACTTGCACTATATGTTTTTGTTTACCTGTATTATTGTGTTGCACTGTTGGAGAAGCCTGTGACCTAAGATGTTCATCGACATAACTACTGTTCGTATGACAAATAAACTTGAACTTGGGCGACAAGTAAAGCTTTCTTCTTATCAGTAAGTTCTGCAAATCAAATAGTTGAAACAGAGCCACATGAGGACAAATACATAAATAAAACAGAAAACATTTCTCCCTAAACTATGATCCAGTTTCATCATAATCATTAATTCAAGACTCTCCTACTTTTAATTGGTGTCGTGCTCACACGGTCGGGGTTCATTGTGCCATAATAACTGGCAGGCTGCAGTTTATGTAGGAACTACAACACTTATTATTTTACAGTTCTATGAAAATTACATTACACCCATACTATTTGACGTTTACTTTGTAATGACTTCCTGTGTGTTTATTTGACTCGATGTCCTTGGAGGACTTTGACCAGATTGCTGTTCCTGCTTTGTTCATCTGGGTTGTTTGTTACCATGCAGACGGATGACCATATTAATGCAAAGTGACGCTCAATTGGCTGAAGTAATGTTGCATAGACAACAACACTTGCAGTGATTGGACAATCAGTCAACCCCTTCCTGCCCCAAGGGTGACAGTCTGCCTCCCCACCCCTTTACCCCAAACAAAACAAGATTACATAATATCATGTCGATCTGTCTGTAATTCTGTCAACAAACACAGCAATGAAATGAAGCTCCAGTCAAGTTATCTCTAATTATCACCGACCATCTAACCAGAGACCATTTTCTGTTTCTTCTATCACACCACACACACACACACACACACACACACACACACACACACACACACACACACACACACACACACACACACACACACACACACACACACACACACACACACACACACACACACACACACACACACACACACACATAAGAATATCATTTACAAATACACTAGGGGTTGTTTTACTAATCAAGTTATAATAAGTTAGTTAGACAGAAACCTATAACATTTTGAATTCCACCATTGTTCATATTCATCTTTCGTTATTCAACAGCAATTGTATGCATTCTATGATTATGTCTATAGATAAAACCAAATGATTGTTGGTAAGACTCACAAGCCATGTGTTGAACAAAACCAAGAAAAAAACCCTATAGTTTTTTTAAAACATGGCCAATCTTGCAACACAGTGGAGGTGCCCAAAGCGAAGTAACGCAACAAAAACGATAGGAAAACCCTGGTTCAACGTGTTTCTTGTAAGTTCCTGTCTCTGAGTATTATGGGTTGGATCTGATAAGCCTTCAAATGTATGGATCAGTCATTCAAACTGGGCTTCTTGGATCACAAGTTCCTGGAGAAACACACCACCAACACAACTTGTTGACTAATTTAGATGCAGGGAATCCATAAGGATTGGACCTGAAAACATTGGGGGCTCAGCCCACATTGGGGGCTCAGCCCACAGTGGCGGCGGCGGCGGCGTTACAGTGGAATTTTCTACTGCAACACTCCCCACACACAAACACACAGTACACCCGCGACTGTTACAATGAAGGCTCGATAATCAGCTCACGGCATATAGGCAGGGGTAACGTGCTATTTTTATGAGTGGGGGGCGGACCTCACCTCCTCTAGGGGGGTCCGGGTGGATGCTCCCCCGGGAAGATTTTTTTTTAAATATTGAAGTTAAAAGCATCAATCTGGTGCACTTTGAGAGCAACATTAAGAGATCTATGGATACATCTCTCAACACCCATATGAAAAATAACTGTAAACAGATTTTCTTTTTCTCTATGGATATTTTACAAATCACTCCCCTTTTAAACTCTATTAAAGTTTTACTGCCATATAGTACTTCATAACTGTAACCCTTTATTCTCTTATTTTCTTTATAACTATAATGATCAAAGGTGTGCCACGGAGATAATCTTTTGAATAATTTGTGACCAAACCGTTTGAGACCCACCTGCCCCTTTCACACCAGCGCCTTTTCAGCTCCGGCTCGGAGCTGGAGCCTGAAAAGCGCCGGTTTTTCCTGTTCACACCGCAGCGGCGCCGGCTCTTAGCTCCGGAATCCGGTTCACTTCCAGCTCCAAAAAATTGTCCGTCTAGAGGCAAGAGCTTCGGAGCTAAGAGGTGGCGTCGCTTACGTCTCTCTTACGTCGAGGCGTGCAGGAAACTAAACCCACCTCCCCTGAACATGGGTCGACTGTCATGCCTGCCTACAAGCAGTAGTGCTTATAAACACACTTTATAAAGTCAGGCAACACTAACCAGGCTTCGTGTGATTCTGTTTATTTGTACCTTACTTTGACCATCCGTTCACTGTTATTGATCATTGTGGAGAGAGGCAGACGTTTTGTTTTGTATTATTATTTAGCAGCTATTGGATGGAATCAATACATGGGCTGCACAGGTTGTCATGTCCGACTATCACAAGTAGAATCATAATAAAAATACGCCGGTAAAATGTGCCTGTAGAAAACGGTTTATGCCACAATAGGATAGCAATAGCAAGTAGTCAGTTTAGCTTCGGTTGCTATGCTAACATCACCCATTTTATACCAGAGAAACTTTCATAAGAGCGTTGTGATACCAAACAGCGTCAATTCAGACTGACACACATTCACTTAGGCTAACGGCCCGTCTACACTACAGGCGTCGAAAAAGCTTGAAGCTGGGCGTGTCTGAGGCTTGGCACTTTCTCGCGCCCAAGGCGACCAACAACCAATCAGGAATCTCCCGCCCGCCCCCAGCATACAAAGCAAAAAAAAGTCCGGTTCTTCTACACTATTGCCAAAATGGATGCCGGTTTTGTAGCAACGGTAGCGTTGGTTTATGCAATGTCTCGCAGGAGGCAACGTATAGTGCGTCGCTGTTGGGTACATACAATACTCAGAAAACGTCTGCAACAGGGGGAATACCACGTTCTTGTCCAAGAGCTCCGCCTGGATGGTGTACTGTTTCAGCAGTACTTCAGGATGACCAAAGACGCGTTCGACGAGTTGCTCGGAAAAGTCGGTCCACTGATTGCAAAGGCAGACACCCGTATGCGTTTGTCAATCGGACCCGCCGAGCGACTCGCCATCTGCCTACGGTACGTTTTGTGTATTTCTACTTCTTTAATATGACTCTGTATATAAAGAGAGAGAATGCATGCAATGGATGAATGAAGTCTGTGATGTAGTTCAGATGAATGACATTAATTAAGATAGCTAGGTAAACGCAGTATTGCTCCCCTGTGTGTGTGTGTGTGTGTGTGTGTGTGTGTGTGTGTGGTGTGTGTGTGTGTGTGTGTGTGTGTGTGTGTGTGTGTGTGTGTGTGTGTGTGTGTCTGCCTGTGGTGTATGTGTGTGTCTGTGGTGTGTGTCTGTGGTGTGTGTGTGTCTGTGGTATGTTGGTGTGTCTGTGGTGTGTGTGTCTGTGGTGTGTGTGTGTGTCTGTGATGTGTGTGTCTGTGATGTGTGTGTCTGGTGTGTGTGTGTGTCTGTGATGTGTGTGTCTGTGGTGTTTGTGTCTGCCTGTGGTGTATGTGTGTGTCTGTGATGTGTGTGTGTGTCTGTGATGTGTGTGTCTGTGGTGTGTGTGTCTGCGTGGCGTATAACTTTTTTTTTTTTAAATCTTGTATATTACTTTTTTCTCAGGTACCTGGCAACCGGTGACTCGTACAGGACCATAGCATTCAGCTATCGGGTCGGGCATGCAACAGTGGCTGTCATCGTCAAGGAGGTTGCGGGTGCCATCTGGACCGCGCTGGTCGAGGAGACCATGCCGGTACCACAGACGGAGGACTGGAGAGCCATCGCTGCTGGGTTCCAGGAGCGCTGGAACTTTCCAAATTGCGTTGGTGCCATTGATGGGAAGCACGTGGTGATCCAGGCTCCGGCAAATTCTGGGTCCCTCTACTTCAACTACAAGTCCAGCCCCTCCTTGGTACTGCTGGCAGTCGTGGATGCTGAGTACCTCTTCAGGGTAGTGGATGTCGGAGGTTTTGGAAGGAGCAGCGACGGTGGGAGCCTGCGGAATTCCGCTTTTGGAGAGAGCCTCAGAGATGGCAGTCTGCAGCTACCACCTGATACCGTCATCCCAGGAGCAGAGCGGCTCGGCCTTCTTCCCCATGTGTTTGTTGGAGATGAGGCTTTTCCGCTGCTGGACAACCTGCTGCGTCCGTTCCCTGGACGTCAGCTCACGCGTGAAAGGAGGCTGTTCAACTACCGCCTCAGCCGGGCCAGGTTGGTGGTTGAATGTGCGTTTGACATCCTCTCATCTCAGTGGAGAATGTTCCGGTGTGTCATCACCACCAGCCCGGAGGTAACAGAGTTGTGTGTGAAGGCCACCTGTGTGTTGCACAACTTCCTCCGCAGGAAGACAATAGAAAGGTCATCACGCACACCTGTCGTCCCTGTCGTCGCAGAGTCGAGTGATGAAGCTCCAACCCTGCGCGATGCACCTATGATGGGCTCAAACAACGCCACACGCTGATCCATCCAACTGCGGGAGACCTTCTGCTCCTATTTGAATGAGGAGCGTGTAGTGTCATGGCAGCATAAAGTGGTGTAGGGTCACCATGGCTCCTCCAAACCAAAAGCTCTTTTAAGAGCTACCCATTTTCTTTAAAGAGCAAATATTCCAAATGAGCCATTTTAAAATCAAACATTCCTAATAAACATGTTTCTTGAATTGATATTATTATATCATGATATGACTAACAACCTTTTTCTTTCAGCCCTGTTTTTACTGATAAACCACTCATAATTTCAATAGGTTTTCACATGACCAATTACAGAAGAAAGCACATTATATATACTGACATACATGAAGCTTCTGGTATGTTGCAACTGACAAACCACATGAACAAGTGAAGACACAGTATAGCCATAACATACTTGAAATAATGTTTTATTTGGTGAATTTGAGTGAAGTGTGTGTGATGAGTGATGAGTGTAAAAAAATGTAATGTGGATCAGTATGTGTGAAAAAATTATAAAATTATAAATTGTTCTGCTGGTCCACGTCAAAAATTATTTAGTGTACCCCGAGGCGGACTCTTGCCCTCTGTGCCCTTGTCATCTGCCTCATGGTGGGCAAGAGGCTCTTAAAAAATTGCAAGTCCTCGTCCTCCTTCACCACTGGTGGGGTTGGCTGGGCAATTGCTGGGTAATTGCTGACAGCAGACAGCAGACTTCTTTCAAACTGGGACATCTCCCTCCCCCTCCCCCGTGTTTTGCCCCGGACCTCAGCATTCTCCTCCTGGCTGACTGCTGCTGGCTGACTGGCGGACTGGCTGGTGGACTGGCTGGCTGACTCACTGTCTACCTGGCTCTCTTCCTCTGCCACCAGGGTGGATGGAGGCAGGGTCTGCCGGGGGACATTGCTGGACGTCTCACGGTCTATGATGAATGGGGTTAAAAACCCCATCACTGCCATGAAACGCCAGGGCTTGTACCCACCTGCAGACCCTGCCCCGCTTCTTTTGGCCTCCTTCTCCATATTATTTTCCTTGCGGAACCTGTCCCTCAGACTCTTCCATCTCTTCTTGCAGACATTATCTAATAAAATGAAATGAAATAATAAAGTTAATAAATAATAAAGTGAATTTCTTGAATTTACTAAATTATTCCTCCATTAATGAATGCTATTTTTATGTTACATTCCATGCTGGCTAAATATACTGTCTATGCTTGATAGCTGTGAATCAAATCAAGTTTGATTTATATAGCACATTTATAAACGATTTTTGGTCGAGCCAAAGTGCTGTACATATAATAAAGTTAGCCTACAGTAGAGACACTTTACAGCAAATACAACAGCACAGATTGTTCAGAATATCAGTATGAGAAAAACGACACCCTCTGCATGTATTATATGTTATATATTATGCTTATACTTATTATATTATATATAATATTTTTGTATTAATATACATTATATGTTATGCTACATTACTAGCTGGCTAAATATACTGTCTATGCTTGATAGCTGTGCATGTATTATATGTTATGTTATATATTATGCTTATTATAATGTTTTTTTATTATTATATTAATATATATTATGTTATTATGCTACATTACTAGCTGTCCATTCAATGCTAAAACGAAGTAAACTGGATATAAACTCCCCAAACAGTTGAAAACCTACCAGTTTCACCAACTGTCTCTGCCACCTCCCGCCATCCCTGGTTCCTCCGGTTTAGGTCCCGGTAGGTGAACAGAGTACAGTCATACAGGACTGGGACATTTGCCACAGCAATGATTAATTTGTCCTCCATTTTATGACATATGGAAAATAGTCAAGACCTGCGGGATCAGCATACACGCGGTTTGATTGGCTAGCGCTTGTACTGGCGGGAATTGCAAAAACGGGATTTGATTGGCTGACGCCAGCTTCGAGAAAGCATCGAGCCTCAAAAGTTGAACAATGTTCAACTTTTGAGGCTCGCGACGCTTGCAACGCCTTGCCAAGCTACCCACAATGCAGTTCGGCGAAGTTTGAAAATATCCTACGTCACCCCATTCAAATGAATGGGCGAAGCGTTGAAAGCTTTTTTTGACGCCTGTAGTGTAGACGGGCCGTTGGGGAACTGGGGATATGTATCAGCTGCTTGTGTGAGTCGGACAGTGAATACTTTAGAGCGGCCGCTGCAGTGTGAGCTAACCGTGAGCTAACGGAGGAGAATAAACTCCCGTGGAAGAGCAGCCAACACTGCAGCGGTCGGTAAATGCTGCAGAAACACATTAATAAACAATGAACCACGGCATTCTGGAGCAAAGTATAAGGTTGGAGAAGTCGTTATTCAATTTATTCTGGCTTCGTGTGATTAAAAGCAACACGATCATCGACCCGACGCAGTTCCCCGTTGTTGTTGTTATTGTTGTTGTGAGCGCCGTAATGCCGTTGGGGAGCAAATCAGCGATGTAAACGGTGACGTCATGACGCAGCAGCGGCAGCACCAGTCGGGTGCTGGGCGGTGTGAACAGAGCGGGAGCAGAAAAGGGAAACCGGAGCTGAACCAGAAAAGCTCTAGCTCGGAGCTAGAAAGGGAAAAGCGCTGGTGTGAAAGCCGCAACTGAGATAACTTAGACTAAAGTGAACTATCTAAACACTCAGAGAGTCCTTTAGCTCACCTGAGCCTCTCAGTCTGACAGGAGAGGACTCTCCTCCAGCTTGTTGTGGAACAAACAGCTCCTTATGTCCGTTAGTGCAGCTAGCTAACCAGATGCTAACAACATGGTCCCTGCTGGCACCGGTCCCTCTCTTTCCCTCTCCCTCTCTCCCTCTCTCTCTCCCTCTCTCCCTCTCTCTCTCTCTATCACACTAAATGCGCTATTGCCACACACACACAGAGCCGAGCTTGAATGACACAAGCACACGTGTATTTCCATGCAACTCTCTGATTGGTCTGGTGTCTTGCCTCTGTTGCATTCACTGAACACGGGAAATTACAGTCCTGCCGTCCTCTCTTGTGTCATGATGAGTTGCACGTAAAGCACGGTTAATGTATTATATTATTGAGGGAGAATTGTCCGGGGCTACAGAAAAAACATTCGGGACTGCCCAGGCCAGGCGTGTAAGGGTTTAGTGTTTTGTCTATCTGTCTGTTGATGTTAATTGCTCTACTCTCTCTCTCTCCAGGTGTCGGCACTTCCTGTCCGTGTGGCACCTGCTAGGCTGATTGTTATTCCCGCCCCTGATTGTGTCCACCTGTGTCCCATTACCTAAAGTGTATATTTAGTCCTCCTCTCCCTTTGTCTGGTGTTGGTTCGTCTTGTCTTTTCGTCATGTCCATGCCTGTATACCATAGACCTGTTTTTGCACTACCTAGTAGAACCTAGAGATTATTGGAGAGTCCTAGTAGATCCTAGAAGTTTATTGGAAAGCTTTGTATTCTTGAAAATAAAGAATATTACAAAGCAACGGAATCGAGCATCTGAGTTCTTACGAGCCCATTGTGTCAAGGCAACGCCACTGGTCCATAGTTAATCGCGATTAATCGCAAATTAATCGCACATTTTGTATCTGTTCTAAATGTTCCTTCAAGGGATATTTTTCAAGTTTTTAATACTCTTATCAACATATGAGTGGACAAATATGCTTTATGCAAATGTTTGTTTATTATCATTTGATAAATGACAAATATTCTCATGAATATTAAACATAACGTGTGTGTGCGCGCGTGTGTGTGTGTGGAGAGACACTGTGATGGATCGTTGGAGCTATGTGCAACTCAAGGCATATGCTCGAACGGGAGCTGCCTGGACGCTGCAATCATGTTGCGCGCACTATCCGTGCTGAGTGTGCTGACTTTTAGTACAATGTCCCACTGTCTGGCTACCTGCATAAAGTCAAGTGCTCGGCGCAGTTGTCGGCGAAATGTCGCTCCTCTGTTTTCATTGAAACAGCTCCTTATATCCATTAGTGCAGCTAGCTAGCACCAGATGCTAACAACAACAATACACGTAAGGTGTGCACGTTCTCTCTCTCTCTCGCTCGCGCCACACATACACACACCCTCCCGGTCCTCCCGATGGCCAGTCGGTGCCTGCCGGTGAGCGTGGAAGTGTGGTCTGCCGGGTCTGTCGCAAGCGGGCGGCAGGAGCGGGGCTGTCAGCATCAGCTTGTAGATGGTATTTTAAACTCGATGCGCTCTGAAACTACGGGGCGGCCGAGGACAAAAAATACACATGCGCTAATCGCGTTAAAATAATTAGTGGCGTTCATTTTGTTTTGCATTAACGCGTTATTAACGCGTTAACTTGACAGCCCTAGTATGTATATATCACAGCGTCCATGTAAAGTTAGCGTCAACCCTCACAGGGTGTCTCGAAGTTTTCATAATAAAACCGTATTCCCCTCACTGTCAAATGATTTTAAAGCTATATCTGCAGTACTCATCCACTAAAAAACATCAGTTTATCCTTGTTAATTACACAACATTAATTGGTTTAAATTGTGTACAATGCTTTTGTGTTTTTCCCATAGGTTTTTCCCTTTAGATTCTGAGAGACACATTTCTTTTTTCGTAGGTTTTGATAGGCTAAAACATCTACCTACCCATAATCCTCAGCTACCATTCAAGCTTGGTGATTGGATGTTTTAGCCGCAATGCATGTTGGGATATGGTGTTGCTATGCGATATGAAATCCGAAAAACATTTAAAATAAAATAATACTTTATTCCGAGTGTGCTTGCTTTTCTCTTTGGAGGTCATCACATAACGGCATTGTAATACACGGTTCAGCTGCATTAAATATTACATATCTGCTTTATTTCTTTATTTATAGAGCCCTGATGACAAGACTTCTGGACAAATTGGAAGAAATGCCACCGAAACTGAATATGTTACGTGGATCATAAATATATCAGCAATTCAAAAACATCTTCCATTTCTCTTCACACAATACGTCTCCTTGTAGTATCAACACTAATTTGGCTGACTTTTATATTTGATATAATTGGTAAATAGGCTGTATTTACACCAT